GAGAGAGAGAGAGAGAGAGAGAGAGAGAGAGAGGATGAGGCGTGGTTTTCTTAATGCTGCTCGTCCGGCCAAGAGTGGCGTTGGTGTACGTGATGCAGCACCGGCATCGTCAAGGCGGAAAAGCAGCCCGCCGCCATTAGAAGATCCAGATGAGTGTGCAGGACAGGACGGCTTGGCATCTGGCGACACGTGTGCAGCTGCTGTTCATATGGACGTGATCACGGACATTGATGGGATCAACGGTGATCAACAAAGGATGGAAGTTGACCTGACTTCCAGTGTTCGTGGTTGTTGTAGTTCTGCTTCTTCTGCACCTGGGCTATCGAATGCACCTTCGCCTGGAGCCGCCGTTGTGATGCCTCAGATGGAAGAATCAGGAGGTGCTAGTACATCTGCATCACTGCCAAATCGAATTGAGGAAAGCATGATGCATGCAGAGACTGCCGAGGACAACCTGAGAAAGGTATATGGGCTGTGTCAGCGATGGTTTCTTCCTCTTTTTTACCTTAGCTGTTTTTCAACATCGTTTTCTTCTTTCTGTGTATCTTGGAAGTCGGTTTCTTATTTTCTTTTGAAGGCGGCAGGCAGTAATCCCAGCTTTAATCTTTATTGTGTTAAGAATCTGAGTCCAATCGATGAGGATTCGAACTCGTGTTCCTTTTTTTACTAACAGTGAAATGTGTGTACCGTTGAGTCAGATTGGCTAGGTATGGAAGTTGGTTTCTTACCCTTAGCCGTTACTCAGTATCGTTTCTGTGTTTGTTTGTCTCATGAGAGTTGGTTGCTTACCCTCAGTGTTTTTTTTTTTCAATAGCGTTTTGTTTCTTTGTTTGGTTTTGTAGAAATTGGAGGTTGGAAATGCATCACTGTCACTCTGCGGTTTTCATATCTTTCCTCTGTGCCTTGGAAGTCGAAGAATGCAGGAGAGCCTATCTTTTCTCTGCTGATATCCTCTGCGTGGGATAGGAGAGGCACCAGTAATGGCTGGCTGACCAGTGGACTTCTCCCTTTGACTCTATCTTTTGACTTTTGCTTGTGGACGTTACCCTTGGAATTTACCCTTGTTGTTTACCCTTGCAGTTTACCTTTGGAGTTTACCTTTGGAGTTTACCTTTGGAGTTTACCAGTGGAACTTACCTGTGGAACTTACCCTTGGAACTTAGTATTACCCTTGGAGTTCACCCTTGGAGTTTACCTTTGGAGTGTACCCTTGGAGTTTACCTTTGGAGTGTACCTGTGGAACTTACCCTTGGAGTCTTCCTTTGGAGTTTACCTTTGGGGTTCTATAGTTTCCGGGGTTTGTCGGGCTGAGTAGCCTTGGTGGCCGCCCTCCCACATTGGTCTAGGCTGGTCCCATCGATCAGGCAATCCGTCGTGGGCAGGCACTGGTGGCCAATCTGCCACTGTAGAGAAGTTTGTTTGGCTGAACCTCTCGGTCCTTTGAACCATGGAATTGCATGTAGAGAGTCCCTACTTAGATTAAGCTGTTGCATCCATCTGCTCGTCACTGGGTTGTCTAGATTGACTTTTGGGCGTAGCAAGCGGTATACTTGCTTGACCTGGAGCATGTGCATCTGTTTTCCCCGATCCTCTCTGTGTGTTGTCCATGTCCAGTTAGCTGGGTCGAGTGCCAGCTGGTCTCTTGATATGTCTGGCGGAAAGGCAGTCCAGCTGTCCCCATCTTGGAGTGCCCTAATGCGGAATAGCTGTGCGCCTGTGGTCCAACGGTAAGCGACAGGGGGCTCGAGTTTGATCAGGGTGTTATCTCCGTGCTTCTGGTACAGCTCCGTAAGAGCCTCTCCTTTTGGGTTTATGTCGATGATGTTGCCTGCCAGAAGTGGGTAGTCAGTCAGACCGACCCAGTCTGATTGTGCCAAGGTGGGTCCTTTTTCCGAAGGGTGCGGTGCGGATCCAATCAAGAGGGAGTGCTGTGACGCGCTAGTTCCCGGACCTGCGCCATCTTCCGTTCCTCTCTCCCCCCCCCCCCCCCCCTCTTTTTTCTCTTTTCTCGAATTTTGGGTAACCATCCGACGAGGTCTCTTTTTTTTTTCTTCTTTCATGGATGTAATATGTGAGACCCTCGGATCAATTTTTGAAAGTTTGTCTTTTGCAAATTCGGGAATTACATGGGAATTACGCGCGCCTTAGCAAGCACGCTAGGAATTTAGGACGGCAGTTAGGAATTTCGAAATAAGTGGAATCTGACGTGTCCTTTCTTGCGCTTGAATATTCTCAACCTCGTCTTGGAAAGCTCTGGGAACTTTCGTAGGAATCTGATTAGGCATAGGAATTTTTCTCCCGTGCTTGCTCTAGCGCGTGGATATGGTACTTTTCAATTTGAAATAGCTGTAATTGTTTTGGTGCCCTTTTTGCCTCCGCGTCGGCGCCATGCATGCGAGCCTCCCCTCCCCGCTTCCCACGCTGCCTTCAACACTCTCCTCTTCGCGCTCACGCTCCTTCTCTCTCTGTAACCGTTTTCCATCTCTCTCTCGACCTTGCACACCTTTTCTCTTCTTCTTGATCGTCTGAATCTTGGTCCTGTTTCACGCTATTCTTCGCGCTCTTCTTCTTCCTGCTCTGATCTCCGCGTCGAAATACCCCGTCGACCCCCTTTCACTTCTCTTGGTCAAGGAGACGCGCCGTGTAAGAAGGAAATTCCTGATACACGACGATTCTGATTGGCTGCAGCTAGGATTCGAAGGATCGACATGGCTTTCGTCAGACAATCCCTGAGCCCTCCCCTACTCCTCCCTGTCTCAGTCCTAACCCTTCCTAGCATCTATCTTCTTTTCCGCAGCTATAAATTCCGCAAGCGCTCCCGAAAATCTCTCTCTCGACTCATCTGCCCGCTTCCGGGAAGCCGTGGCTAGATGGTATGAATGAAGGTGCGAGTCGAAAAGTCCCGACGAGCTGGCTGTAGTCTGGACGCTCGGTATGCTGGATCGCCTGACGGACTGTGGGATCCGAGTAGGGCCGTGTCGAGGCTAAGTTGGCGGGGTGACGATTGCTATCGTGGAGTTGGCACGTGACAGCCGGGATCGTCAGTGCGAGTGAGATGTTCGAGGTTCGAGTCGGAAGTGAGTGAGTGTATGGCCTAGGGCTATGGTGGAATTTTATGGCAGAAGTATTTCCTTTTCTGTTGTCCCCAAATTTGTATTTCCAAGTGTGAATTCCGATCACTCGGCTTTTAAGCCGGTAAATGGTAATGGATGAATTATGGTGACCCTTACTTCTCTCGTTCGGTATATACATGCGGCGAGTCGCGTCAGAGAGTTGTTATGGCATGATTGCATGGCTGATCGATTGGATGATCTGATTGCTTGGAGTGATGTATAATTAAGATCTGTTTGGAGCTTATCTTTGCTGCCATGTGGACTGACAACCCCAACCCGATCGGGCGCCCACATCCCGTGCCCCCGCCGCTCCCCTTCCCGTACAACGAGGAAAGGATACGTGTATGCAAGTGGGACATACGAGAAGCCGTCACCAAGATCGGAGGGCGTTATTTCTTTCCTCCCGAAACTCGGTGTTCTGGATTTGTTGGTGCGGGTTTTGTTATCATCGATATACACTTCCCGCCATACTCGTTGTTGCTGCCCTTTAACAAACTAATCGTCGTACTGTGGGCGGCAGTGGAACCTCATTGGCCTAATACTCTGTGCAGCGATTGCCGCCGCTTCGAATGCTACCAGGCCAACGGATTCCACTACCGCACACATGGCGAGGACGAGCACAAGGAAAGAGCCACTCGATTGAGACCCTCCACGTCGGATTCGGAATTGTGCAGCGAGCGCCGACGGGACCTCATCCGCAAACGGGATACGACGTGTGTACCTGCCCCTTTTCACTCGAAACGTAGAGCGACGGCTTGCTGGGAAGTTCAACGATACTTTTTGGATTGAATTTCCCGTAGGTGCGAGTCCCGCACGCGCCCCTCCACGTCGGATTCGGAATTGTGCAGCGAGCGCCGACGGGACCTCATCCGCAAACGGGATACGACGTGTGTACTGCCCCTTTTCACTCGAAACGTAGAGCGATGGCTCGCTGGGAAGTTCAACGATTCTTTTTGGATTGAATTTCCCGTAGGTGCGAGTCCCGCGCGCGCCTTTTTCTCCCGACAAACCCGCGTGGCGACGGGCCTTCGTCTTGCTCCAGTCGGACCAACATGGGGGATTTCAGTTCTGTCTGTGTCCCCGCACTCAATTTTCCAAAAATCCTTGGCACACCCCATCTTTGCTGTCTTTCCCGGGCCCCTTTCCGCAAACCAAAACACTCCGACCGAAAGATAGCACAGGGCGTGAGGTTGAGCGTCACAGTGCAAAGGTAAGTTGTTCTAGGGCCCCTTGTGGGTGATGTCAGTAACGAAGCTTCTGGCGGATTTGCCCTTAGAATGGTGTAACATTTGGAGTTCGGTCCTGGACTTTACCCACAATTTGAGTTCATGCACCTTGTGATTTACCTTCCCTTTGGATCTGTCCGCTCTTTCAATCTACCTGCCGTTTTAATCTATCTATCTACCTATCCTTTGCATCTACCTACCGTTTCTAAACTACCCACCCTTTGAGGTCACCTATCTTTTGAATTAATGTCCTCTTTGATCTTAGCATTTGAATTTTAGCCTTTTGATTTTACTCTTTGGTTTTAGCCTTTTAGCCTTTGTCGTTGGCCCAGTCTTTGATTTTACACTTTGATTTTTGCCTTTTAGCGTTTGACTTTGGCCTTTGGATTCACTCTTTTTTTGCATTTGAACATGCCATTTGCGCCATAGACATCTCGGAGTTTCCACATGTTCGTTTCAGACTTAAGGGTTTGAGTTTTATCGTAAGCGGGTGGGAGAGTTCAACCATGCTTAGACTGTCCAGGGTTTTCAAAGGTCTTGGTGTTGTAAGGTGCCTTATGACAAGGATTGCAAATCCAGGGCATTCTATTCTAAGAGTGTGCGAGAATGATGAAATGACGAGGAGTCTGCTGCATGCATCCAATCTGGTCCACTTAGACAGATGGTGGTGTATCAAGCTGATTTTTTAAATTGTCAAGGGCTCAAAGATCAATTACGATAAGGACTGATGTCCTCTATTTCATTCGATGGCAATTCTACGTCGTCAAAGCATGATCTGACTAACAGGCCTTACTCAATTAGTACACCCATTGGGCCTCGCCCCGCTACACAAAACTGTGCATGTGTCTGGAGGTCATAGTCATCCCGGTGTGTTCAAAATGTTGGACGACTCCTAATGCATCTGGTCCAGAAAGCAGTATCAAATGCATGTAGAATGCTGAGAAGTGGAGAGAGGGCAGTTATCAGTTGACATACAGACCCTGAGTTTCAATCCAGATAGAACTAGATGAATGAAATGAAATAGTTCTGAATTACGTGTGGCCGGTCAGTTCGAGCGTGATTTTTTTTTTTTTTTTTTTAAATCATTTGGACCATCTCTCGATTTATGCGTGTCATCCCTTCCCAGAGGCCATAATCGTCTCTGTATTGTCCCAATTTTAACAGATGTCAGATGTCCCAAAGGACCAGTTCGACCATGATACCTCAAGGTCGTTACCCTTCTAAAAAAGGGAAAAAAAAAAAAGCATCCTCTGGACCTCTGCTCGATATGATGATGGCACTTAGGCTTCAAAATGTGAAAAAAATGAGTTGCAGAATCTAAAGAGTCTTTCTGGAGACTCAGAATTTGAGCGGAGCAGGTCCGACCAGAGCAGAGCATAATAGAGCAGAACAGAGGTGGTGGTCCATCATTAAAGGTGGGTAGGTGGGGGGCCAGCTAAGTAGGGTAGGTGGGTATGCCAGTACAGGATGGGTGGATAAATAGGGTAGGGTAGGCAAGTAGGGTAGGGAGAGATCGGTAGGTAGGCAGGTAGGGTAGGGAGAACGGATAAGATAGGTCGGGGAGGTTGGGTAGGTGAGGTAGGTCTGGGAGGGTGGGCAGTTAGCTTCCCAAGATTCTCAGGCTGGACAGTGGATAAAGGTCAGATGTGGAAGACAGGTACATAGGTAGCTTGTGAACCTACTTAGAATGTTCAGAGAGAGGTGGGTGAAGAGACTTGACGTGTGAGGGGGATCATGACTGGATGTGGAAGATAGGTAGGTGGGTAGGTAGATAGGTTAGCTAGCTTGTAAACCATGTTAGATTACTAATCTATGGGAACTTTTTTCTTGTTTCTTCTTAACTTATTATGATAGGAATAATAACTTTATTTTCCTTCATCTAGGTGCATGTGGATTCGAACTCCAGTCTGTATTTCAACAGTTTCCGGGTGTGCTTGTTGGTTACCTTCTTCACCCTAATACAACGTACGGTCATTATGGCTGTATCTAGACAGAAAGATGCCTCAAATGCACAACTATAATGACCGTATGTTGTATTCGGGGGAAGAAAGTAGTCTGTGGAAACTTAGTCGGTGTCTTCTAGCAACTAACTATGCCTTGCCTTTTTGCGTAGTTGCTAGAAGTAGTGGTTTTTAGCTACGTTGCATAACGTACACGTATGGGGCCTTTCCGTACGAAACGTACATCTGTACGGGATCTGTACGGGAACCTGTACATCTTGTATCCGAAAAAAAAAAGGTGATGCAACAGCGCAAAACAAGAAACATTTTGCTGAGCATCATCGGGAGATTCTCATTAGAATTTGAGAAAAAAATAAAAACAATACCAGATTAAAAGAAAAAGAAAAAGTCGTACTGGCCCCCTAGCGTAAGAGTAGCGTACGAGTACAGGAGTACGAATCCTACTCGTACGAGGGTGCGTACAAGTGGCAACACAGGTTTTTGAGGTTCGTACCTTTGGGCCAAAGGCCCTCCTCCGTCCACGCACAGATTCGAACTGGCAACCTAGGCCTCAAGAGCCAAGCATCGTAACCACTACAGCCAGGACACGGTGTTCAAAAGTGGAATTTTCATCACGGTCGTGATATCCAGCCCACCCCTGCAAGGCTGTAGTGTCCAACTGGACACGCACCACACACAACACCACACGGACGACACACGGCGATTCTCGCACACTTGCTCCACCATGTGGCATACTGCGTAGCCACACGGGCCCTGCAGGGCCCGTCCCGCACTTTCAGCCTAAAAGCCTAAAACATAGGGCTTACAGGCCCCGGTCGTTTCAGCCTGAAAGCTGAAAAATGAGAGCCTGCAGGCCCTACTCCGTTTTCAGCCTATTTCTGGGCCTTTCAGGCCCAGAGGCTTTTCAGCCTGAAACGGAGGGCCATTTTCAGGCCCTCATTGTGTTCGACCTACCTAAGACTCAGGCACGAAAACAGGGTTTCGGGAACCCCTGTTCCCCACGCCAGCTCGAGCAGGAGCTGCAGCTGCAGCCCCTGCCTCCCTTCGGCATTGGCAAGAGCAGCCTCCTGGACTGCTCGCCTGCAGTCAGGAGGCACACCCGGTAGTACATAGGAAGTTCCCATGCACTTCACGGGTAGGTAGTGGGACAGTAGACGAGTAGTCTTCAGGATTCGGCCGCAGCACTCAGGAGGAGCGCTGCGCTAGGCAGTAGTTAGCGCTAGTAGTAGTCTTCGGCGCTGGGCGCCCATAGCCATAGCTGTAGTCTTCAGCGCTGGGCGCTATGGTAGGTGGTAGATAGTAGAGTTGGGAGAGACATTGGCGGAGGCCAGTGGTTGGTACTTACCTGTGGCGCCATCGCTCCAGCTCCATCTGCGAGGTACCTGCATCAAGGCACCAACTTCACAGGTTAGTACTGGACACAGAGAGAGAGAGAGAGAGTTCTTCTTCTTCCTCTTCTAAGTCCACCATCTCTTCTCACCCTCTCACCACCTGCCTTCTCAGACTACGACAGAGAGAGACAGAGTTGTGACTTGAGACTTGACGACATTGGATCCAGACTTGACATTTGGGATTCAGACATTTCGACGAGGGACTATTTGGGCCTGCGCCRAAGACTTGGTGTTGACGACATTCCCATCTTYCCSCTCCTCTTCRTCTAACCCCTTCTTCTTCGTCTGTGTATGGTAGGGGCTGGCGCAGTCTTCCTGTGTGAAGCGCCAGACCCCATTCACACCATGTAACGATGATGATGATGTATGTTCAGGGCTGCATTGCAATATTGATTGTTCGGATCACTGGTATCTAAGTCTTCCGCTGTGTTATCTTATACTTGTATTGAGAGGTCGGTTCTTGTTCTGGTCTGCACAGTTACAGTATGCAACAACCGCCTAAGTCTGTGGATTCAACCTCTGTTGGCCAGATTGGACAAGCGGCAATGATGATGACCTGTGCTTTCTTTTGCTGCTTCTAATTGGGCATGTAATCTGTTGCTCAATGCGCATGGCGTTGTTCATCATCCTTTGCATGCGACATTTGGCTTACATGCCTTTTTTCCTTTTTTTTTTAACCCACAAAAAAATGAACCGTTTCTTGATTTATGTGTGTTGTCCTCGCACAGGGGCTATTATGCAATCTTCTCTATATCGTTCCAATTTTGACAGATTGTGTGGCGTACATACCTTATTTGATTTTACTGAGTATATCTTTGGGGGTTGGTTATCTTGTGCTGCTCAGCCTGCAGGGAGTCTTCACGAGTGCCTTGCGCTTCTGCGCGGGAGTTCGGACGAGCAGCGTCTGGTTGGGCTTCTGCTTGCTACAAAGTTTGTTTCTGGGCCCGATGAGAGTGCAATCCGAGCCATCTTTGATGCTGTCGGGTTCGAATTTATCAACCGTCTCTGCAAGTCGGGAACAGGTGGGAACCACCACCACTCATTCTTCTGTCTGTTTAATCCCTCCCTCCTCCCTCCTCCCTCCTCCCTCCTCCTTCCCCCCCCAAGCCCCCCCCTTTCCCCCCCTTCCTTGTCCACCAACAGACCTTCGCTCTTTTTTTTTCCAACCTTTTTTCAGCATAATCAGGATGCTGTACAGGTTTCCTCTTTTTTTTTTTGTCTCTCTGCTCTTTTCTTTGCCCCCCAATGAAATCGTGTCACTCATTGGCCGACCTCTTTTCATTGCAAACTGGCTCGCAAACAAATTGAGTGCTTGCAGCTGATAACACCCCTTCTCCTAAAGCCGCCTTCTGCAGCATAGCACAACCTTCCTGGGGCAATAATGTTGTTCGACGAAGGGTTCTTTTATTTTATTTTTAATCTCTATGCTGATCGATCTTCAACCGTCAATCTGGTGCTCTGTCTTCAAAAGCCAAGCATTAGATCAAGAATTTCATTTTTTCTGTGTAGAGATAGAAACAACTTTAATTCTGAACACGATGGCCATTACAGTGGGCTTGCCAGTCTGTTCATCCTTCTACTTTGATCGCTTGTTGACTATTTTTTTCTTCTGTTTGTTTATCATTCACCTCCCTTTCCCGCTCCTTGTTTGTCCTATCCCTGTTGTGCAGCATTCTACCCATCTTGATTTCACCTTTCTGGCTTCAGCTCCCCCCTCTAAAATGGCAAAAATGTCAGATATATGTAGAGCCCGTTCTTGTCTAAGAGGGCCTGCAATGGGCCTGTACTGGTTTAAACTCTGCCACCACGATCAGGAGTTTTGAAGTGTCATTTATGATTTCATCAATATTCTGCCTGTCTGCGGGTGAATGGATTTGTTCTTCCCTTCTAGCTGCACATTTGCATGCTCCAACCCCCTCCCCCCCCCCCCCTTCCCCGTCTCCCTCTCTCTTCTCTCTCTCTGTGTCCTGTGTCTCTCTTGTGTTATGCAACTACTTTGTGGATAGCTTTGTGCACTTTTGCTTATCCTTCTGTCCCCTTTCCCCTAATGCCCTCTGCTCGCCTGGCAGCCACTCACCCTTTGTCTGCTCACTCGTCCTCTCCTCTGCTCAGCTATGTTGGTATGGGAGAACCGCTGAAAGCATATAAGCGGGAAACCCCTCTTGAAAAAAGTTATCATACAAAGTGAAAAGACCATCACTTGAATAGGCGAGAAGTAAAAGCACCGTGAGGTGTGAAGCTTGCTCGTACTAATTACGATTCCAACTGGTACGACCACTTGATTATCTACTTCTGAAAAAACGTAGTTGACCCAATTGTTGATCTGTGTAGCATCGTGTCTGCGTTCAGTGACCGAACCCGAACTTTCGCGACCGAACGCGAACGAGCATCAAACGAAACAGTTTGTCACAGCCCCTCGTTTGTTGTCCTCTTCTCTCTCTCTGCCTACGGTTTACCGGGCAGTTCTGTTTGTGACGATATATATATGAGTCGGTGAAACTCCGACGAAACAGTTTGTCACAGCCCCTCGTTTGTTGTCCTCTTCTCTCTCTCTGCCTACGGTTTACCGGGCAGTTCTGTTTGTGACGATATATATATATTTTTTTAAATCACTGAAAAAAAATGTTCGGCCGAACACGTTCGGGAGACGTTCGGCTGAACATGCAAACATTTTCGGACCTTTGGAAAAGCTCCAAACATGTTCGGTGTGCTACACAGTTCTAGATCATCCTCTGGAATCATACAAGTTGATATAACTATAAAAAGTAAGTGATTGTTCATCAGAAGTATTATAATCTGAATACTCATAAGTCCAATGCCATTGATGTCCAATCACTTTGATAGTAATTGCAGGATCTACACCCCTCCTCTTCTCACTCTTGATATGGTCCCCCCCCAAAAATCACCCTTTGTCCAGTTGGCTCTCCCATGAAGCACAATCTTCAACCCCCCACCTTCCGCATCCTGCAAAATTGCACTCAACCCTGAGGCAAAAAGGAGAACCTGTGGCCGCTTGATTATCCATCAATCCAACGGACCTGCTTCTTCTCATCGCCCACCCGTTGGCTTCCAGGCAACCAAGGCAGTGGTGGTAAAATGTAGTGGAGGTTCCAAGCTTAAATCACCAGTACCTCCACGTTTTTAGGCCGTTAATGCGGTGGCTGAATCGGGGCGCCCCGCGGGTCCACCATATGCATTTGCATCAGAGCGGCCCCAGAGTGGGCCTAAGACCTCCTGGGGTACTGGTGGTTTAAGTTTTCAAGCCTCAAAAGCTTTTGAATTTACTATTATCAGTGTTTTCTGCATGGGACTCATGTTGCAGGCAGGCGTATGGAAGGACGGGTGGGTGCAGAGAAGAAGCAGGATGAAGAAGAAAGCCTTAAGCAGCAAGAGGCGTTTCGGCACTTGGCTTTGACACTTATCAGCGCATTTTGTCGCCTACCAGACGTGGCGTCATCTGTTCACATTATCCGGAAGGTTCCAATGTTTCTGGACATCATCCGATCCAGGTATGTTGGTAAGATCATGCTGACCGGTCAAGTGAGTAGGCCTCTTTTTGACACTATCCACAATGGATAAGGCGATCCGTGCAAATTGTTCGCTCAGTCAGGCCACGGTCAATCCAGGCAATCATTTCTTGGCATTGTTTTCTCAATCCTCTTCATATATCACAATCCTTAATGTTGTTATTATATATGGCTCATAATAGGTGTAATTTGCTTTCCAACTGAAGGATAAGTAGATGGGCTACATATATCACAGCCCCTCTTTCCTTCCTTTTATTATATTATAATTTATATATAATATAAATATAAATTCTATTATATTATTTTATTATATAATATATAATATTTGTTATACTACTATGATATGGCTCATAATAGGTGCAATTTGCTTGCCAACTGAAGGATATGGAGATGGGCGAAGTATATAGGTAGACCTGGCCATTGTACATGCCTCTGACCACTGGGATCTGTGGGACAAAGGCGTCATGGTCCATGCCATGACTGATGTTACTGATTTCGTACATAGTGATGCCGTTTTCGTGCCACACTAAAGCGTCCGCAATCTCTTTTATGTCGAAGATCGTTCCTCTGGCCCCGCGCTGCAGCAGGACAGTGTACCAACGCTCTGCGACCTTCTCCTTTGCACAGCTACAAACACTGTTACACTCGGCTGTAGCTGCTATCATCTCTGTCACAGTCTCTACAATGACATAGGTTTCTGCATGCATGTGTGTAGAGGGCTTTCCCTCCGAATGTTTCATTGGTTACCTCTGCGGACTTTGTTTTTTTTCTCCCTTCTTTTATAAAATTTCTCTTTTTTTTCCCCTATCAAAGGTGATACCTCCAACTTTATTGTGTTCTGTCACTTCTGTGACTTCTGTCTGATTCCACCATCAGGATTCAAACTCATGCTCTGTTTACTGACAGTAACATGTGTGCAGTACACAGTGTACCATTCAGCATTCGGTCAGTTACTACCTCTGTTAACTTTTCCGACTGATAAATGGTGTATGATTTGAACTCATGATCTGGTTATTGGCACTCAGAGAAGGTGAAGGACCAGTTGGGGATTCCTACGAGTGCCTCGTGGCGGTTGCTGGCGCGTCTGAAGACGGATTGAGGGCAGTACAGCAATCGGATGCCCTGGGGCTCATTGCAACCGACCTTAGCGCCTTTGGGTTTGGTAAGTGTGCTGTCTTCTTTTTTCTTTGTCGAATAGCGAATGAAATCGTTGGCTGAATCAGACTGATCCAAATCCTTGTTCTGGCTGGCTCAAATAATCAAATTGGTTGACTCACGGCGACCCAAATTGTTGCCTACGGCCTTCCCCCGAATCGAACGCACGGCTATTATAGCTTTATTTCGGGGCACTGGATACAGCGACGATGACAGTGCATTCCGTTCGCGTGGAAGACGGTAATGGCCCAATTTGTTTACTAGCGTGCCACATTAGTGACTGGTGTTTTTTATTTTTATTTTTATTTTTTTATTTTAATGTGGCCCGATGGACCACGGATCAGATATTAAACTGATCAGAACAGATAGTGCACTTGATCTTAGCCAAAAGGCCCGGAAAGGTATTGACTAGTGTGGTTTTGATCGTGCATTGCATCGTTTTTTCTCTCGTTGCATGACTCTTTCTTACACACAGAGAGTCTAGACTGAGACATCTGCAACGGCGCTTAGGACTCACCCGCACATTTGCTCAATTCTCATCAACTCAAAGTGCGACATCTGCAAGCCGCGAGGTCGGCCTGTGTATCACCAAGCTTGTTGATGAGGACATGTGCAAATGTGTAGGTGAGTCCTTCGCGGCATCCTTAAAATTGGCACGATACACAGAAGATTAACATGCATGGCCCCTGCACAATTAAGGACGACGACACACATAACTCGAGAAATAAGTCGAAATTTGTGGATGATCACTGCTGATAGCATAAGAAACAAGAGATGAGTGACGACTTAGTGTGTTGGCTAGTCAATGAGGCCGAACGGTACACGCACATGTAACTGAAAAGTAAACAGCTCAGGCATTGGAATCCTTATTGACCCAAATGACCATCGTAAGGTTAGGGGCTACCCCCTTGGAAAAAAAAGTAAAAGAAAAAAAAAGAAAAAGACGAAGAAAACCAGTGACTTGGTGTTGGTGGCAGCAAGCAAGTTTTTTTTTTTTTTTTTGCAGCAAGCGCGTGTCGACAGGAAGTGAGCATGTGCTCAGCAGTGACCGGCAGCCATGAAAGGCTTGATTGTGAATGTTGAGTGGAGAGGGGGATTGATGGGGGGGGAGGAAATGGGGGCAGGGTAGCAGCATTATGCTCAGCGTTGACCGTCAGGACGGCGAGCACGTGCCCGTTGGGGGCATTCTTGCAGTGCACAAGGACAGTGCTTGGTCCTCTTTTACACTGAAGGACATTTCTTTTTTTGCTCTGCTCTCTTTTCTCTTACTAGATATACCGTCTTGCACCGACTGCTGAGTGCGCATTCTTGAGCGAAAATTGAATGTCTTGCTGGACACTACTATCTCAATTATGCAATGGACCTCTATCTGACCAAGGAGTCTGGTTATCGGTTCAAGTCTGATAGTGAGCACCAAAAAAAAAAAAAAAGACCAAGGAGTCTGGACGTAGTCTGTAGCAACTTAGTCCCTAGCATGTGACAGTTACACTGTGTAGTACTCTCTATAGCGTCTACACGACTCTACAGAGTCGAGTGCTGTGTACCGTTGTTCATCCCTGCACAACAAGGACTCTGGACTTAGTGTCTAGCATCTGGCATTTACAGTGTTTAGTTACAAGGACTCTGGACTTAGTGTCTAGCATCTGACATTTACAGTGTTCAGTTATCGGTTGCATCTACAGAGTAAAGTACTGTCTGCAGTTGCTCGGCCCTGCACAACTCCGTGCACGCAATACCTTGCTCCCTTTCGACACAGACTCGCACTCACGAGCCTACCTCTGTGATCGGTGAGCGACAATGGAGATATCTTAATTCTGGCGGAAGTTGTGTGCTGAATAATCGAATCGGATGCTTTCCAGATTGAGTGACCGGAAAACCAGGGTGGTCAGATAGACTAGACAGGGCGGTTGGGGAAAAAAGAAAAAAAGAAAAAGAAAAAGACAGGGCAGTCGGATAGGTGCCGGAATTTCCAGGCTGTAGGTGGTCTGATTGACTAGATTTGATAGGGGGTAGTAAAACCAGGGTTTGTGCTCAAGGTGGTCTGATTGACTAGATTTGATAGGGGGTTGAACTGTGAATCCTTTGATGTAGCTGTGGGGTTCTGTCTGCTTCAGTGACGTTTTCATCTCATTCAATTTATTTTATTTTATTTTAAAATTGATTGTGAATTTGTCAGGCTGTAGGGCAATGCTGTCTTGGGGTAGACGGGGGAAGAGAAGAGGGGTATAGGAGGTAAAAAATAAGGGAAACAGATTTTAAAGGAGTTTGGGGTGGATGGAGGGGACAAAAAAAAAAAAAAAAAAAAAAAAAAAGGAGGATGGGACAAACACTGTCAAACAGATTATTGAATCTGAATGTGGGCTGCAAATAAATGGAAGTTGTACGAGTGGATAAAAGCAGGTACAGGGAATGGTTGCATCCACTGGAAGTGCTGTCGTCGTTGTCATCGTTAGTGCCATTGTGATGATAATGATGATGATGATCATTATCATCATTATTAGGATCACCATTATTGTCATCATCATCCATGATTCCCCACCATGTTGATGATAATGATGACAATGATGATGATGATGATGATGATGATGATGATGATGATGATGATGGTGTCATCATGATTGTCATCATCATCGGTGTTGTGATCATCATTGTCATTGTCGCTCATAGTTGTCATCATCATCATCATCATCATCATCATCATCGTTGTTGTTGTTGTGATCAGCATCGTCATTGTCACTCATAGTTGTCATCATCATCGTCATTCTCACTCATAGTTGTCCTCCTCCTCCTCCTCCTCCTCCTCCTCCTCCTCCTCCTCCGCATTGTCATCATCATCATCATCATCATCATCATCATCATCATCATCATCATCATCATCATTGTCATCGTCAGCGTCATCATTGTCGTCATTGTCATCATCTCTTCATCGCCATCATCATGAGTTGGTGTTCTTAGTATCAGTCAGTGTTTATTGGCAAACAAGAGAGTGAAACGAAATTTCATGGGTTGATTGTCGTTATGTTACTTTTTTCTGTGATTGGTTCATAACCTTATAGGTTGGCGCACATTTTACACTGATGTTCGGTATTTTGGAGTGGTTGCTCTCTCTTTCTTTGACCAATTGGTTGTCTGTTATAAGGGGCGGTTGTCACATCTTTTTGGGTATTTCCTGGTTGCATGCATCATTCCATTCCTTGTTTGGTATGCAATGGCTATGCATGCCTCATTCCTTGGCTATGGATTCATATTCCTATTTTGGTATTTCCTGGTTGCATGCGCCTTTCCTTGTTTGTTGTATCGTTTGGGGGCGTGTTTGGGTTGGGCGAATCAAGTGCTCATTTCTGGAGGAAGGTAGTTGGCTGCACTGGTAATACTTGCTGCTTCAGATTGAGGGGGTCATGTAGTATTGTTACTTGCCAGGAGGGGGGGAGGAGGGCGGGGGGAGGGAACAAGACTGTCAAATTATTGATTCGTTCATGATTAATCGAAAAGATTCAGAACGTGTCGAAGATTCGATTTATGAATTAATCAGAATCTGGAAATGAGTTTGCGTTATGTATGTGAATGCACGGATGTTGTTTGACGCAGAGTTCGGCTGGACTCCTTTGTCAATCAAGTTGATGGCCATGCTGGTGAGCGCAGCCGGAGAGGACATGTTTCATACACATTCTGCTGCGTTGGCAGCTGCAGTGAGTTTCATCTGTCACACCCACCTCTTGCCGTCTGTCGCATCCATATCCCGGTGTCTGTTGCGCCCCACACCTTACCCCAAACAGTTCTTGTTGTAATGTAGCTGTTATGTTAGGTACCGTCCTGCACCCTTTAATCGTCTTTTGTTTTCTTATGCTCGCTTTGTACATAAACAGGTTCAGACCGTTTCTTGATTTGTGCGTGTGGCCACACTACCTTGTTCATTCACCAGAAAGGACAGCTGCAAGCTGACTATAGAAGGTGTCTGCAGTCCCCTTTTGTACCCGTGGGTGTTAGCGGTTTGGACCCCCCCCCCCCCCCCCCCCCTTCCTCCCCCTCCCCACCATCCCCTTCCTATTTCTCCCTCCGTCGGATAAAAAAAAAGGATGACTATTTCTTGATATTAGTAATAAGCATGGCAACTGTCAAGCCAGGGCTGAAGTGCAAGGGTGACGTGCAACTCTCTCATCTTTGGAGAGCGCTACCATCTTCACCCGAATAGAACACACGGTCATTATAACTGTATTTGGCACAACTTTCGGTCCAGATACGGCAATAATTACCGGGCTGCGGCTATGGAGGGAGGCGAGGGATCATTCATACAGGCACGCGAATGCGTTCTCTGGTAGCGCTGCTCTTAGTTGTTATTATTTTGTCATCTGTGATGGCCCTTGCGGTTTCTTTGCATTGCAGATGCATGGACGAATGAATTTCCTTTTCCCAGGATTATGCTTTGCAAGCGCTTTTGACTTAGGTGTCAAATTCGCAAAAAGGAGGGAATCACACAAACACACACACACTCTCTCTCTCTATGTCTTCTCTCTATATCTCTACTCTAGTTTCTCTCTACTCCCGCTCTCCCGTCACCCTGCTGTGAATGGATTCAGTGGAATGATATGACATTGGTTGTCCTGTTGATTGGTGCCCCACTGCCCCCCGATTTTTTTGCTTGCGTTTGTTCTTCATTTTTTATGCGTTTTGTGACTGTCGTTGCAGATTCCATCGTTTGCGAGATCCTTCTTTCGCCGCCAGGATGAGCTCAAGTTTGAGATTTTGCAAATTCTAGGGGTGCTGCTTGCTTCGTATGCTTCGGTGAGGTTCGAATATGGCGAGCTGGTTTCACACATTTCCTTTTCTGTGATTATCCTGGAGTTCTGTGCCGTATTCGTTTACTGAACGTAGTGCATGCGTTAAGACAAATCACCATTATGGAAAACAAAGAAGGCCATACTTTGGACTACAACACTAGGAAATTATTAAATTTAAGCAGAAGGGGGGGGGGGGAGAAGAGAGAAGGGAAGGTTGGGGGTTGGGGGCTGCAGAGCTGCAGGTCGAAGGGTGAAAAAGAGGGAAATCGTAGAAGTGCATACTCACACTAGGACTTTACTAATTGCATTCTACTGCAGTTGGGGGTGGAATTTGAGGCCAAGGGTGAGTATAGCACAAACAAACACGATCACAAGTATTACACACAATTGCACACGAGCGATGGTTAATGGAAGACCCAAAAATTCGGGGTTTTTCGCCGCATCACTGCAAGCAATCTTGTCGAAAATTTTGCAATACAAACCAGTGTTGCACACACCGACCGTCGGCGACCCCTGACTGGTCGGCTGCCGACCCGCCGACCGGTCGGCTGGTCGGCACCTACCGGTCGGGGGTCGTCGGCACCCCGCAAAAAAAAAAACAAAAAAAAAAAAGAATTTTTTTTTTTGGGTCCAGAACCCCTAATAACCCCACAAACACCCCCATACCC